TAAGCAGCGAACGTTAAAGAAATAATAATGAAAATAATTTATTTGTATCAGGCAATTATAAAACGACGGAAGGTTTCTCTTATGAATGTTTTTTAAAAATATGATATTTACTCATCGCTAACGAGCGGATGGTTGTTAACGACGTTGAAATTCGTTTTATCACAGACTCTCTCTCTGTCTCACTCTCTCTCTTTCTTTCATTCACCGTCTAATAAATATTAATAAAAATAAAAATAATAATAATAATAATATTCGCGTGAATATTTTTTAATTAATTTTTCAGTTTATTGTTTTCGTTTTTTTATTTATTTATTTATTTTTATTATTATTTATTTATTTATTTTTATTATTATTATTATTTATTTATTTATTTATTTTTTAATTAATAACGTGTCAAAAAGTAAACAAAAAATAATGATAATAATAAAAATAAAAAATGGAGATAGTGCGGGGGAAAAAAAGGGGGGTATTAATTATTAATAATAAATTTTTTCAATTAAAATAAATAAATAAATAATAATAATACTTACGGCAAAAATAAAATTAAAAACGAATAAAAGATATTTAATACAAGACATTCCACAAGTCTCCATTTTTGTTTTTTTTTGTTTTTTTTTTTTTTTTCTAAAATTAATTTTATAATTCACAAAATAAAAATAAAAAAATAAATGAGACAAAAAAAATAAAAAAAAATTTTTTTTTTTTTTTTAATAAAACAAACAGAAAATGGGTTGGTCAGTTGTTTGTGACAAACTTAACAACACACTATCGAATGAAAAAATTTTTTTTTTCTTTTCGAAAGCTAACGAAAAAAAAAAAAAAAAGTTTTTAGCGCAAGTTAAGGGTTGAAAGAGTGAGAGAGAGAGGGAGAGAGAGAGAGAAAGAGGAAAAAGGAGAGATTTTCAAAAAACATTTATTTTGTTTTGGGGTTTTCTTTGTTGTTTTTCTCCAACTAATTTCATCATTATTATTATAACAACAACAACAACAAAACTTATATTTTTATCCCTTTTTTTTTTTTTTTGATAGGCGCTGTCGATAATGATGATGATGATGATGTTCAACGAAACGTATAAAATCTTTGTACCGTAGCCAATCAAAAAAAATGTTTAGTGATAATTTTATTAACAAAAAACCAAAACCCAACATTTTTTTTTTAATTGTTTTTACGTTTGCCCCCCCCCCCCATTCCAACATTTTTAATTTCATTTTACAAAAAAAAAAAAAAAGTTAAAAATAAATAATTTATAATAATTAATGATGTCTCCACGACTAAAAACAAATTAAATTTTTTTAAAAATAACTTTACAAAAAAATTATTAAGTAATAAAAAAAAACCTTGACACGTGACCTATTATTATTATTATTATTTATTTTTTTAGACCGACAATATACCTGTCTCTCGTACCTTTTACATAATTATTCTAAAATTAGGTGTGCCGATTATTTAATTAAAAAAAAAAAAAAAATTCAAAAAACAAAACACTAAAATTCATTGCCATTTAAAATTTATCATTATAATTTATTATTATTTATTTTTATTTATTGTTATTATCATTATTATTATTATTATAATTATTATTATTATTATTATTTATTATTATTATTTATTATTATTATTATTATTTATATTTTTTTAAAGAAAAATTCAAGGCGTACACAAAAATAAAATTTAAGTTTTTAGTGTTTGTTTGTTTGTTTTTACCTAAAAAAAATTGTAGGAAATTAATTAATTAATTTATTTATTTATTTTATTTATAAGGAAAAGATTTTTTTTTATTAAATTAATTATTTAAAAATAAAATAATTTGTTTAAAACAAAAACAAAACAGAAATCAAATAGTTTGTATTTAAGTGTTAACACGAAAGGTCGATTGGTTTGAATCGTACGTTGAACTTGATTTAAATATACATAAAAAAAAAAAAAAAATTTCCTTTCTTTCTTTTGTTTATATCAAAACACGTAAAAATCAAACAAATGTGTGTGTGTGTGTGC